TGAACTTGGGAGACAGCGGTTGGCGGAGGTTGCAGTGAGCCAAAGTAGCACCACTTCACTCCAGCGTGGAGGATAAAGTGAAAAAAAAAAAGAAATTAATATGGCCTGTGATGAGGGGCTGTGTACCTTCTCACTTAAGGGTGAGAAATTCCTGCCTTCAATTTTGTTAGGTGGAAATGCAGACTTAATTATTATAAGATAATTCAAGTGTATGCAGATGGGCACATGTGGATGCTGAGTAGACAAAGCATGAAATATGACAGTTACCAATTTATCCATCTCAGCTCCAAATTTACCATCTATATCTGCTATGGAATAGAGGGTTGCATTCTTTCTTTTTTTGTTTTTGAGACAGTTTCACTCTGTCACCCAGGCTAGAGTGCAGTGGCACAATCTCGGCTCACCACAACCTCTGCCTCCCCGGTTCAAGTGATTCTCCTGCCTCAGCCCCCTGAGTAGCTGGGATTACAGGTGCATGCCACCACGTCCAGCTAATTTTTGTGTTTTTAGTAGAGACAAGATTTCACCATGTTGGTCAGACTGGTCTTGAACTCCTGACCTCGTGATCCGCCCCCCTTGGCCTCCGAAAGTGCTGGGATTACAGGCATGAGCCACCGTGCCAGGCCAGGGATGCATTCTTTAAGCATTTATCTTTTAACGGAACATGTTAAGTTTTATCATGTTCCATTAAAAGATGGAAGGGAAGGCGACGGAGAGGGTGAGGAGAGAGGGAGAGCAGAGGGAGAGAGAGAGGGGGAGAGGAGAGAAGAAGAAAGGGAAAGGGGAGGAGGGGAGGGGAGATGTATGCCTGCATCAAAATATATCGTGTACTCCAAAAATATACACATATACCCATAAAAATTTTAAATATAAACAAATAATTAAAAAAAAAAAAAAGACCTAGCAAAGCCTAAAGTTTTTGCTATTCAGCCCTTTCCAGTTTTCCACCCTCTGATCGGGACCTAATTATCTGTTTATAGGAAACACAAGAAATGGAGAAAACATTTAAAGATTCAATAAAAATCCACTCAGAAATACCAAGCTTGGCATGGTGGCTCACTCCTTTGGGAGGCCAAGGCAGGCAGATCCCTTGAGCCCAGGAGTTCAAGACTGGCCTGGGCAACATAGCAAGACTTCATTTCTACAGATAATTTAAAAATTAGCTGGGAATGGTGGCTCGAACCTGTGGTCCCAGTTATTTGGGAGGCTGAGGCAGGAGGATTGCTTGAGCCCAGGAGTTTGAGGCGGCAGTGAATCCTGATCGGGACACTGTACTCCAGCCTCAGACTGATGACACAGCCAAGAATCTGTCTCAAAAAATAAAAATAAAAAAGGAAAGAAAGGGGCCGGGCACGGTGGCTCAAGCCTGTAATCCCAGCACTTTGGGAGGCC